CCAGCCACGACCCATCTTCAATGCTCTTACTGAGGGAAGGAGGATGTTGGCCAAGATCTCGCGATACATGGCCCCATCCATCCTGCCCTCAATACGGTGCAGTCGTCCTGTCCCCTTTGCAGAAAAGCATCCCCAAAAATGATGTTTCCACCTCCATGCTTCACGGTTGGGATGGTGTTCTTGGGGTTGTACTCATCCTTCTTCTTCCTCCAAACACGGCGAGTGGAGTTTAGACCAAAAAGCTCTATTTTTGTCTCATCAGACCACATGACCTTCACCCATTCCTCCTCTGGATCATCCAGATGGTCATTGGCAAACTTCAGAAGGGCCTGGACATGCGCTGGCTTGAGCAGGGGGACCTTGCGTGCGCTGCAGGATTTTAATCCATGACGGCGTAGTGTGTTACTAATGGTTTTCCTTGAGACTGTGGTCCCAGCTCTCTTCAGGTCATTGACCAGTCCTGCCATGTAGTTCTGGGCTGATCCCTCACCTTCCTCATGATCATTGATGCCCCACGAGGTGAGATCTTGCATGGAGCCCCAGACCGAGGGTGATTGACCGTCATCTTGAACTTCTTCCATTTTCTAATAATTGCGCCAACAGTTGTTGCCTTCTCACCAAGCTGCTTGCCTATTGTCCTGTAGCCCATCCCAGCCTTGTGCAGGTCTACAATTTTATCCCTGATGTCCTTACACAGCTCTCTGGTCTTGGTCATTGTGGAGAGGTTGGAGTCTGTTTGATTGAGTGTGTGGACAGGTGTCTTTTACACAGGTAACGAGTTCAAACAGGTGCAGTTAATACAGGTAATGAGTGGAGAACAGGAGGGCTTCTTAAAGAAAAACTAACAGGTCTGTGAGAGCCGGAATTCTTACTGGTTGGTAGGAGATCAAATACTTATGTCATGCAATAAAATGCAAATGAATTACTTAAAAATCATACAATGTGATTTTCTGGATTTTTGTTTTAGATTCCGTCTCTCACAGTTGAAGTGTACCTATGATAAAAAATTACAGACCTCTACATGCTTTGTAAGTAGGAAAACCTGCAAAATCGGCAGTGTATCAAATACTTGTTCTCCCCACTGTATATATATATATATATATATATATATATATATATACAGTTGAAGTCGGAAGTTTACGTACACTTAGGTTGGAGTCATTAAAACTTGTTTTTCAACCACTCCACAAATGTCTTGTTAACAAACTATAGTTTTGGCAAGTCGGTTTGGACATCTACTTTGTGCTTGACACAAGTAATTTTTCCTACAATTGTTTACAGACAGATTATTTCACTTATAATTCACTGTATCACAATTCCAGTGGGTCAGATGTTTACATACACTAAGTTGATTGTGCCTTTAAACAGCTTGGAAAATTCCAGAAAATGATGTCATGGCTTTAGAAGCTTCTGATAGGCTAATTGACATCATTTGAGTCAATTGGAGGTGTACCTGTGGATGTATTTCAAGGCTTACCTTCAAACTCAGTGCCTCTTTGCTTGACATCATGGGAAAATCAAAAGAAATCAGCCAAGACCTCCCAACCGTGAAGTACGGGGGTGGCAGCATCATGCTGTGGGGGTGCTTTGCTGCAGGAGGGACTGGTGCACTTCACAAAATAGATGGCATCATGGGGAAGGAAAATTATGTGGATACAGTGAGGGAAAAAAGTATTTGATCCCCTGCTGATTTTGTACGTTTGCCCACTGACAAAGAAATTATCAGTCTATAATTTTAATGGTAGGTTTATTTGAACAGTGAGAGACAGAATAACAACAACAAAATCCAGAACAACGCATGTCAAAAATGGCCACAAGCCTAGCCAGTCTCCAGACCTTAATCCCATAGAAAATCTGTGGAGGGTTTTGCCACCAAGTACTAAGTCATGTTTTGCAGAGGGGTCAAATACTTATTTCCCTCATTAAAATGCAAATCAATTTATAACATTTTTGACATGCGTTTTTCTGGATTTTTTTGTTATTCTGTCTCTCACTGTTCAAATAAACCTACCATTAAAATTATAGACTGATCATGTCTTTGTCAGTGGGCAAACGTACAAAATCAGCAGGGGATCAAATACTTTTTTCCCTCACTGTATATTGAAGCAACATCTCAAGACATCAGTCAGGAAGCTAAAGCTTGGTTGCAAATGGGTCTTCCAAATGGACAATGACCCCAAGCATACTTCCAAAGTTGTGGCAAAATGGCTTATGGACAACAAAGTCAAGGTATTTGAGAGTGCCATCACAAAGCCCTGACCTTAATCCTATAGAAAATGTGTGGGCAGAACTGAAAACGCATGTGCGAGCAAGGAGGCCTACAAACCTGACTCAGTTACACCAGCTCTGTCAGGAGGAATGGGCCAAAATTCACCCAACTTATTGTGGGAAGCTTGTGGAAGGCTACCCGAAACGTTTGACCCAAGTTAAACAATTTAAAGGCAATGCTACCAAATACTAATTGAGTGTATGTACACTTCTGACCCACTGGGAATGTGATGAAATAAATAAAAGCTGAAATAAATCATTCTCTCTACTATTATTCTGACATTTCAAATTCTTAAAATGAAGTGGTGATCCTAACTGACCTAACACAGGGAATACGGGGGATTGGAAGTGATGCAGACAATTACATTGATGGAAGTTACAATCCATCTGCAATATTAAAGCTGATCTACCCCCTAAATTTTTTTTATAAAAAAATAACAGGGGAGGTTAGCGTTTCTGGGGGGTTATGATATTTGAGCGTCTGTAACTTTGACATTATGACGTTATTGATAAAAAAACCAGGACCTACATTATTGATGAAAAAACAGGCCATACCCGGCCCTAACGCGATGTACAGAGTATTCGGAAAGTATTCAGACCCCTTGACTTTTTCCACATTTTGTTAAGTTTACAGCCTTATTCTAAAATTGAATAAATTGTTTTTTCCCCCCCTCATCAATCTACACACAATACCCCATAATGACAAAGCAAAAATAGTTTTTGAGATGTTGGCAAATTTATTAAAAATAAAAAACGGAAATATCACATTTACATAAGTATTCAGACCCTTTACTCAGTACTTTGTTGAAGCACCTTTGGCAGCGATTACAGCCTCGAGTCTTCTTGGGTATGACGCTACAAGCTTGGCACTCCTGTATTTGGGGGAGTTTCTCCCATTCTTCTCTGCAGATCCTCTCAAGCTCTGTCAGGTTGGATGGGGAGCATTTTCATCAAGGATCTCTCTGTACTTTGCTCCGTTCATCTTTCCCTCGATCCTGACTAGTCTCCCAGTCCCTGCCGCTGAAAAACATCCCCTCAGCATGATGCTGCCACCACCATACTTCACCGTAGGGATGGTACCAGGTTTCCTCCAGACGTGCCGCTTGGCATTCAGGCAAACAAGTGGGCTGTCATGTGCCTTTTACTGAGGAGTGGCTTCTGTCTGGCCACTCTACCATAAAGGCCTGATTGGTGGAGTGCTGCAGAGATGGTTGTCCTTCTGGAAGGTTCTCCCATCTCCACAGAGGAAGTCTAGAGCTCTGTCAGAGTGACCATCAGGTTCTTGGTCCCTCACCTTTCTGACCAAGGCCCTTCTCCTCGATTGCTCAGTTTGGCCGGGCGGCCTTGGTGGTTCCAAACTCCTTCCATTTAAGAATGATGGAGGCCACTGTGCTGCAAAAGAAAATTGGTACCCTTCCCCAGATCTGTGCCTCGACACAATCCTGTCTCGGAGCTCTACGGACAATTCCTTCGACCTCATGGCTTGGTTTTTGCTCTGACATGCACTGTCAACTGTGGGGCCTTATATAGACAGGTGTGTGCCTTTCCAAATCCTGTCCAATCAATTGAATTTACCACAGGTGGACTCCAATCAAGTTGTAGAAACATCTCAAGGATGATCAATGGAAACAGGATGCACCTGAGCTCAATTTCGAGTCTCATAGCAAAGGGTCTGAATACTTATGTAAATAAGGTGTCTGTTTTTTTTTTTGTAATAAATGTGCAAATATTTCTAATAACCTGTTTTTGCTTTGTCATTATGGGGTATTGTGTGTAGATTGATGAGGGAAAAAATATATTTAATCCATTTTAGAATAAGGCTGTAACGTAACAAAATGTGGAAAAAGTCAAGGGGTCTGAATACTTTCCGAATGCACTGTATAATGTCGGGTCGAAGAGCTCTATTACACAGTAGAGCACAGGAGTTAATGTACTGTATTGTACTATACTGAACTCTACTGTATTCTACTGTTCTGTACTCTACTGTTCTGTACTCTACTTTAATGTTCAAACTTGTGAAACATAGACGGCTATGATTGGTTCAGATTTTGTCCGTTCCGTATCAACCACATTTGGTCTTATTTAGGGACATAGCTCATTTAAAAAATAGCCAGTGTGTACAATAATACCCAAATATGCAAAGGAGGATATTGCATATTTCTACCTTTGTGTACCTACTCAGGATACATCACCATGAAGAGAATGACTTTCATATCCATCATTATGCATTTCTGTGGAGTACAGATCAGGGACCCATGATACCGCAATTCCATTACCGGTGTAAATCCACTTCACTTACTTCAGTTCAATAACCAACAGAGATTTTTTGTCATTGTGTCATGTCATAGCTGTCATAGCTGACACCCCATTCTTTCTGCAGACATTATTGAATCCTAATTTGGAGCAGATATTTAAGCGTTTTTGGAAAACAAGGACACAAAAAAACTGAGGGAGATTTTACAGAAATTAGGTTACCAAACTTTGCATCTGCATAGTTTTTCCAGTACATGTGTTTTGTGAAATGTTCAGTGTAAATTGTTAAACGTAGTCCTTGTGCATAGGGTTGGGTGGTTTGTTAAACTTTGAAATCAATGTTTTTTGTTTGGCATACATTTTAAGTGAGAAGTCTGACTCTCGGCGCAATGCCGAGAGCGTGGAATTGCCCAGTAGTTAAGGTTCATTGTTGACGAAGTGGTTAAAAAGTTATAGTTCTTGCCTGCAGGGCCAGAAGTTTATCCAGATGCTCTTCGTCCTGCTGCAGCTTCTCCTCCCTGCGCCGGGCGTTTATCTCCTGCTGCCTGCGCAGCTGCTGGGCGCGTCTCTCCTGCCTCTCCTCCACACTCACCACGCCGCCCAGAACCTTGGCAGAGTAGGGCAGCTGCATGCGGTGCACCTCCTGCTCATAGAACTCTGCACTGCACCTCTTCTCCAGCTGAGGGACACCGAGAGAGAGAGGCAATGAATCACATATGCAGTACCAGTCAAATGATTTATTTAGAATTCAAGGCACACTTAACCAGCATGGCTACCACAGCATTCTGCAGCGATACGCCATCCCATCTGGTTTGCGCTTAGTGGGACTATCATTTGTTTTTCAACAGGACAATGACCCAACACACCTCCAGGCTGTGTAAGGGCTATTTGACCAAGAAGGAGAGTGATGGAGTGCTGCATCAGATGACCTGACCTCCACAATCATCCGATCTCAACCCAATTGAGATGGTTTGGGATGAGTTGGACCGCAGAGTGAAGGAAAAGCAGCCAACAAGTGCTCAGCATATGTGGGAACTCCTTCAAGACTGTCGGAAAAGCATTCCAGGTGAAGTTGGTTGAGAAGAATGCCAAGAGTGTGCAAAGCTGTCATCAAGGCAAAGGGTGGCTACCTTGAAGAATCTAAAATATAAAATATATTTTGATTTGTTTAACACTTTTTTGGTTCCTACATGATTTCATGTGTTATTTCATAGTTTTTATGTCTTCACTATTATTCTACAATGTAGAAAATAGTCAAAAATAAAGAAAAACCCTTGAATGAGTAGGTGTGTCCAAACTTTTGACTGGTACTGTAAAGCAAAGCACCACATACTGTTTCATACAATCTCAATACATCTCTCTGGCCCCATGGCAGGCAGACCTTGGTGGTAGTCTGTGGCTGTGTAGCTGTGTTCGTGGAGCAGCTCCTCCATGCGGCTGAGGGTGACGGCGGCCAGGTAACCAGGGTACTTCAGCTGGAGCAGACGCTGGGAGGCCAACTGGCTCCCGCCCACGTTCACACGCATCCAGCCTGAGGAAACGCCAGAGGAAAGCATGTAACAAAGTGTGTGGCATGTGTTAAACTAGGTGCATCTGATGAGATAGCAGCTACATCTGTTGGTTATTTTCCCAACTCCTGTAGCATGACAACAAACAATAGAGGAATCGGCTAAAGAATAGACAGATCTGGCTACCTGGTTGAGTATGAGGGGAGTCACCTAAAACCACGTTACTGTGTCTTACCTTCCATTGATAACAGGTAGGATGTGAGAGCAGTGTTAGCCGGAGGACAGGACAATGCTGGTGTGTGGGGGGGTGACGTTGCAGAGAGTGTTGTTGTAGTAGAAGCTGTACAGGCTATCCACCCCATAGGATACATGAGGGACTCTGTAGCACTCAAAGAGCAGCACTGACATCATCTGGCGACTGTGCAGCGGGTTGCAGGGCGCCTCTGTGGAGAGAAAGGAGAGAAACCACATCAGAAGGAGCAGCTATCTAGTTAGCTAACGTTACCTTTGTCCGCGTAAGTTGTATTCAAGAGTGAGAAGGCAGAACAGCCAACAGGACAAGCAACAAAGAAAATGTGGAAAACAACTTGAACACCTCACATCAGCGCTAACTCAGAGGTGGCTGAATCGAACATCAGCTCCTGCATCTCGAAGTTTACAACCACATTTCGGTCGAACTGGCTTTTCAGGAGCCATCGCAAAGGCTCGAGATGTCATTGCCGATTTGGGTTTCACTGCGCTCTGATCTCGCCGCCACGGATTTGAACAGAAGCCGCGGTGCGCCTAGTTCGTCCCCTTTGCATGTTCAACCGGCCCTCCATTGAAAATAGCCGTTATCTATTACCATCGGGACCGGTGTTGTTTGTAAGCATTCGGCAGTTATTTAGAAAATCGTATCGGGAGATGATTTGTAGTCTTGAAATGAAAATATCTTGCAAGTTGTGTCTGTTTTGGAAGTCATTTTGAAAGGGTGTTACTACAAAATACGGCCGATTCGAAAGCTTGTGTCAGCATCCAAACTTTCCGGGATGCTCAGAACATTTTGACAAGGTAACAATACTTTTATCAACCTCTACGGGATCGGTGTCCCGTATACGGGACGGTTGAGCTAACGTGCGCTAATGTCATTAGCATGACTATTGTAAGTAACAGCAAACCTTCCAGGACATAGACATGTCTTATATTGGCAGAAAGCTTACATTCTTGGTAATCTAACTGCACTGTCCATTTTACAGTAACTATTACAGTGAGAAAATACCAGGCTATTGTTTGAGAAGAGTGCACAACAACAAAAAACTTGTCACGGCAACTGGTTTGATACATTCACCTCTGAAGGTAAATAATGTACTTACATTCAGTAATCTTGCTCTAATTTGTCATCCTAAGGGTCCCAGAGATAAAAATGTAGCATAGTTTTGTTTGATAAAATCAATTTTTATTTTCAAATGTAGGAACTGGGTTCTACAGTTTGAACCCCTGCTGTCTCTGGCGCCACACCCACCCCGCCCGGCCATCTAGATGTGTGAAAGTTAGTGTATAAGCTAGTGATCCATCATGTATGACATTCCTGGGAGTGTGTAAACTTACATTTTGTATTACCATATAATTTTTGTATGTTCTCTATAGTTATGTACTTGAAAATGTATCAATTGACCAATTCGGCACATTTGGGCAGACTTGATACAAAATAGTCCAGTATTGCAACGCTTCACTGGATCAATCAGAAACTTTGCACACACACTGCTGCCATCTAGTGGCCAAAATCTAAATTGCGCCTAAACTGCAATATTATATTGTGGCTTTCTCTTGCATTTCAAAGATAATGGAACAAAAAAATAAATAGAAAACACATGTTTTTTTGTTTGTACTATCTTTTACCAGATCTAATGTGTTATATTCTCCTAAATTAATTTAAAAGTGTTTCCTTTCAAATGGTATCAAGAATATGCATATCCTTGCTTCAGGTCCTGAGCTACAGGCAGTTAGATTTGGGTATGTAATTTTAGGGAAAATGGGAAAAAAGGGTCTGATCCTTAAGAGGCTTTAGGTGAAGGCAGTTCAATGTTAAAATATGTATTTATTACACCCTCTATTATAGTAGATCCCCTAACAACTATTGTTTTAGGACTATGTATTTATAAATTCTGTAGCCTATTTACTGGCATCTGTCAGTGTCATTTACTGGCGTTTTTATTTTGTTTTTACATGGATGCATGGCTTTATCTACAGTATTTTTTGTTTCCTCAATGAACATGTTAATGTGAGTACAGACTGGGTGTGATAACCTACTGTACGACCCAGAACCCTTTTACAGTAGGACTAATGCATTAAAGACCCCATCCATGAATGAGTGTTTGCCACAAGAGGGGGCAATGAAAGCTGGTCTGCTGCATTTGAGATGAATATGCATCAAACAAAGCATGAATTAATCTTTTCGGCATTCTGAATTAATTCCAGGCAGACATGATGAGCTACTCCTATCAATCTATTTTTATGGTTATATGACATCCTATCCCTATCAACCCCTATATCTGAAAAGGCCTTGATTTATTTTGGTCTGGCACTGACAGTATTACTGTCAATTGTCTGGGCAAAGTGGAGCCTCAGCTGGTGATATATAGGGTGCCTTTGGCACTGACAATAGACACTCCACCACCAAACGGTCTGGCCCCTATCACTCCATCGGTAAGGGGTCACATTAAGATTATCTATCGTTCTTCCCTTCTGAATCAGTATCAGCCCATAACTAGAAACACCATTTAGGGTCCTGTGTTTTGGGCTACCATGTCACATGATTTTAAAGCTGCAATATGTAACTTTCTGGGCGCCCCGACCAAATTCACATAGAAATCTGAGTTATAGATCTGTCATTCTCATTGAAAGCAAGTCTAAGAAGCGGTAGATCTGTTCTATGTGTGGCAGTGGAGGCTGGTGGGAGGATCTATAGGAGGACGGGCTAATTGTAATGGCTGGAATGGAATAAATGGAACGGAGACAAGCATGTGGTTTCCATATGTTTGATTTGTTTGATACCATTCCATTAATTCCATTCCAGCCATTACAATGAGCCCGTCCTCCTATAGCTCCTCCCACCAGCCTCCTCTGATGTGCGCTATTTCTATGCTTCCTGCTCTTAAGTTTTGTTTTTGCGTCTTTTACTTTCGGTTTTGTACACCAGCTTATTGAAAATATATTCAAATCAAATTTTATTTGTCACATATACGTATTTAGCAGAAGTTATTGCGGGTGTAGGGAAATGCTTGTGTTTCTAGCTCTGACAGTGCAGTAATATCTAACAAGTAATATCTAACAATTTCACAACATATACCCAATACACACAAATCTAAGTAAGGAATGGAATTAAGAATATATACATAAACTCAGCAAAAAAAGAAACGTCCTCTCACTGTCAACTGCATTTATTTTCAGCAAACTTAACATCTGTAAATATTTTTATGAACATAACAAGATTCAACAACTGAGACATAAACTGAACAGGTTCCACAGACATGTGACTAACAGAAATAGAATAATGTGTCCCTGACCAAAGGGGGTGTCAAAATCAAAAGTAACAGTCAGTATCTGGTGTGGCCACCAGCTGCATTAAGTACTGCAGTGCATCTCCTCCTCATGGACTGCACCAGATTTGCCAGTTCTTGCTGTGAGATGTTACCCCACTCTTCCACCAAGGCACCTGCAAGTTCCCGGACATTTCTGGGGGGAATGGCCCTAGCCCTCACCCTCCGATCCAACAGGTCCCAGACGTGCTCAATGGGATTGAGATCCGGGCTCTTCGCTGGCCATGGCAGAACACTGACATTCCTGTCTTGCGGGAAATTACACACAGAACGAGCAGTATGGCTGGTAGCATTGTCATGCTGGAGGGTCATGTCAGGATGAGCCTGCAGGAAGGGTACCACATGAGGGAGGAGGATGTCTTCCCTGTAACGCACAGCGTTGAGATTGCCTGCAATGACAACAAGCTCAGTCCGATGATGCTGTGACACACCGCCCCAGACCATGACGGACCCTCCACCTCCAAATCGATCCCGTTCCAGAGTACAGACCTTGGTGTAACGCTCATTCCTTCGACGATAAACGCGAATCCGACCATCATCCCCGGTGAGACAAAACCGCTACTAATAAGTGAAGAGCACTTTTTGCCAGTCCTGTCTGGTCCAGCGACGGTGGGTTTGTGCCCATAGGCGACGTTGTTGCCGGTGATGTCTGGTGAGGACCTGCCTTACAACAGGCCTACAAGCCCTCAGTCCAGCCTCTCTCAGCCTATTGCGGACAGTCTGAGCACTGATGGAGGGATTGTGGCCACATCTGCAGTCCTCATGCCTCCTTGCAGCATGCCTAAGGCACGTTCACGCAGATGAGCAGGGACCCTGGGCATCTTTCTTTTGGTGTTTTTCAGAGTAAGTAAAAAGGCCTCTTTAGTGTCCTAAGTTTTCATAACTGTGACCTTAATTGCCTACCGTCTGTAAGCTGTTAGTGTCTTAACGACCGTTCCACAGGTGCATGTTCATTAATTGTTTATGGTTCATTGAACAAGCATGGGAAACAGTGTTTAAACCCTTTACAATGAAGATCTGTGAAGTTATTTGTTTTTTTATGAATTATCTTTGAAAGACAGGGTCCTGAAAAAGGGACATTTCTTTTTTTGCTGAGTTTATATGGACGAGCAATGACAGAGCCTTCTGGATGATAGTGGGTTGAACAGGCAGTGGCTCGTGTGGTTGATGTCCTTGATGATCTTTTTGGCCTTCCTGTGACATCGGGTGCTGTAGGTGTCCTGGAAGGCGGGTAGTTTACCCCCGGTAATGCGTTGGGCAGACCGCACCACCCTCTGGAGAGCCCTGCGGTTGCGGGCGTTGCAGTTGCCGTACCAGGCGGTGATACAGCCCGACAGGATGCTCTCAATTGTGCATCTGTAAAAGTTTGTGAGGTGCCAAGCCACATTTCTTCAGCCTCCTGAGGTTGAAGAGGCTCTGTTGCGCCTTCTTCACCACACTGTCTGTGTGGGTGGACCATTTCAGTTTGCCAGTGATGTGTACGCCAAGGAACTTGAAGCTTTCCACCTTCTCCACTGCGGTCCCGTCGATGTGGATTGGGGGGTGCACCCTCTGCTGTTTCCTGAAGTCCACGATCATCTCCTTTGTTTTGTTGACGTTGAGTGTGAGGTTATTTTCCTGGAACCACACTCCCAGAGCCCTCACCTCCTCCCTGTAGGCTGTCTCGTCATTGTTGGTAATCAAGCCTACTACTGTTGTGTCGTCTGCAAACTAGATGATTGAGTTGGAGGCTTGCTTGGCCACGCAGTCATGGGTGAACAGGGAGTACAGGAGTGGGCTGAGCACGCACCCTTGTGTGGCCCCAGTGTTGAGGATTAGCGAAGTGGAGGTGTTGTTTCCTACCTTCACCACCTGGGGGCGGCCCGTCAGGAAGTTCATGACCCAGTTGCACAAGGCGGGGTTCAGACTCAGGGCCTCGAGCTTAATGATGAGCTTGGATGGTACTATGGTGTTGAATGCTGAGCTATAGTCAATGAACAGCATTCTTGCAAAGGTATTCCTCTTGTCGAGATGGGATAGGGCAGTGTGCAGTGTGATGGCGATTGCATCGTCTGTGGATCTATTGGGGCAGTAAGCAAATTGAAGTGGGTCTAGGGTGACAGGTAAGGTAGAGGTGATATGATCCTTGACTCTCAAAGCACTTCATGATGACAGAGGTGAGTGCTACAGGGCAATCGTCATTTAGTTCAGTTACCTTTTCTTTCTTGGGTACAGGAACAATGGTGGCCATCTTGAAGCATGTGGGGACAGCAGACTGGGATAGAGAGAGATTGAATATGTCCATAAACACACCA